CTGGAGAAGCTGCTCCGCGAAGAGGAAGACGACGCGCCGACCGGAATTGCGGACCTGCTGCTAGGGGCTATAGCGGGTGGCACCTTGGACAAGGAGAGCCAGCGACGTCGCATCATGGAGGCCATCGAGGAGCGCAAGAATATGGGAGCTGCTTTCCGCACCCCTTCGAGAAAGCGGACTACATACGCAGCGATGACCCCAGCCACGAAAACCTCGAACAAGGAGGACGAGCAGGCCCCTATTGTTGGGACCGGTGGCACCTCCGAGCTCCCCAAGTCGGACCCATACTTGGCCTCGCCATCCGTGAGTGGTGGCTTACCCTTGCCGTCCAGCGCCACAAGATCCAGGTCAAGGATGACACCGCGAATGCCGATCAAGTGCGTGGGCCGGACCCCCAAGCGCACCACAAAGAAGGGAAGCCTAGCGGACAAGCTCGATGCTCGAAGAGCTGCGGCGGATGCGGCTGGAATCCACGAGATCGAGGAAGAATCGGACGAGGAACAGCTCCTGAACGACCTCGCGGCGACCAAGGCGCAGGTGGAGATCCCGACCGATGTGGAGTAGCGCCGGCCAGTTGTACTCCTATAAGCAGCTGGAGGTCGACTACGTTTTATGAAAGGGGGCTTTTTTGGCGCGTCCCCCAAGTACATGATGCACAGTACAGCTTTTTCGGTTTGTCTGTACAGAGTTTTGGGTTGTCATCGCGGAAATGGACTGTTTGGATCCCAACCGAGTTGGCTTCGAAGCGCGGTGGTGGTAACGAACATGGACTACCACAAGCTGATGGTGGCAAATGGGGATTTGTTGTCAGTCAGTCCGCTGATATGAGGGCGAGAAAGCAGCTTTGTCAGGGAACCCAAGGTGATTTCTTCGATCGACGGGCTCTTGACCCAGGTGATAGCAAAGTACATTGGCTATCCCAAATCTCACGGGACAAGCGTGGACCTGTGGTCTGTGGACAGGCAGACAAGCTGCCAAGAGCGCAGCTTCAGAAGGGAACCCCAGGAGATTTCTTCGACCCGTGGGCCCCGGAACGAGGTGATAGCGGTGCACATCGGCTATCCCAATCAGGAGATGACCGTGACGATCATGGAGTATCACAAATGATGGTGGCGAATGGGGAGATACCGCATGGCAGTTTGCAAACTTGAGGGAGAGAGACCAGCTGCACGAGGGAACCCAAGGAGATTTCTATGACCTGTGGGCTCTGGACCAAGGTGNNGTACAGTGGCTATCCCGACCAGAAAACGACGCACGTGGACCTCTGCCTCGCTACCGGACAGAAAAGTTGCCGAGAGAGCAGCTTCAGAAGGGAACCCCAGGAGATTTCTTCGACCCGTGGGCACCGGAACGAGGTGATAGCGGTGCACATCGGCTATCCCAAGCAGGAGATGACCGTGACGATCATGGAGTATCACAAACTGATGGTGGCGAATGGGGAGACACCGTACGACAGTTTGCAAACTTGAGGGAGAGAGACCAGCTTCACGAGGGAACCCAAGGAGATTTCTGTGACCTGTGGGCTCTGGACCAAGGTGATAGCGAAGTACAGTGGCTATCCCGACCAGAAAAGGACACACGTGGACCTCTGCCTCGCTACCGGACAGAAAAGCTGCCGAGAGAGCAGCTTCAGAAGGGAACCCCAGGAGATTTCTTCGACCCGTGGACACCGGAACGAGGTGATAGCGGTGCACATCGACTACCCCAAGCAGGAGATGACCGTGACGATCATGGAGTATCACAAACTGATGGTGGCGAATGGGGAGACACTGCACGACAGTTTGAAAACTCGAGGGAGAGAGACCAGCTTCACAAGGGAACCCAAGGAGATTTCTGTGACCTGTGGGCTCTGGACCAAGGTGATAACGAAGTACATTGGCTATCCCGACCAGACAAGGACGCACGTGGACCTCTGCTTCGCTACCGTACAGCAAAGCTGCCGAGAGAGCAGCTACAGGAGGGAACCCCAGGAGATTTCGTTGATCTGTGGGCTTCGGACCAAGGTGATAGCAAAGTACATTGGCTAGACCGAGCAAATGGGGCCAACAGTCGACGAGAGATATATTGCCACAGAGGCAACCTGAATGGAGAGCAGCTCCAGGAGGGAACCCCAGGAGATTTCTTCGACCTGTGGCTCAATTTGAAGAATAGCTCGTGGGTCGTACTAGGACGTTCAACCGATGAGCTGGGGACATGGTTCTTGGAATGTGGCCGTGCTCTGTCCATGGTGATCACGCTGACTTTAGTAGGTGTTCTCACAGCCCATCTATGCTGGTGCCGGCCGCTAGCTATGTCTTCCGACAGGACACGGGTCCGACCTACCTGGGCGAAGCTCCTTCTTGCCTTCTCAGTTCTGCAGGTGGGACAAGCTGGGGGTGATGTCAATGAACACCTGGGAACATGGAGGCAGCCTTCTGATGTTGAACTATGGAGAGCTGGACAGTTGACGCGTAGAGAGCAGGCTGTAAGGGCGGAGGGAGAGTTCATCCTCAGCCAGCCACTGGAGAGTGGTGGCCTATTACCCACGACTATGTATGCAGGTGGACCGCCCACCCCTTTGCCACAGCCACCAGAAGCCCTGGACACTGAAGAGCCCCCTGTGGACCCCTTCGAGTTTGTCGAGGATCTGGTACCTACGCACCACATCTCCTTTTGGATATGTGCACCCTTCCATGAGCCAGAAAGCCTGGATGTTGCTGTCTCCTTCCCCCAAACAATGAACCAGATTCAGGACACGATATGGGAATCTATACGCGTCCTGGACACTCACTGGTTTGTGGAGCTGCTGCCGACAGTCCCTCAAATCTCCGGGGCGTATGGTAGCTTCATCATGTTACCGAGATGGGCACTGCAGGGAGACAAGAAGGCGGTCGTCTTGGACGCGTCGGGGATTGACAAGGGGACCTTTGCCTTTTATATCAGCTCCCCCATCACCCGCTTCGCAGTGCTGAACCAGCTTGCCCTGGACACTACGATGGAGTTAGATGTCTTTGTGGGCGGATCATTTGCTCCTCTCCAAGAGGACGAGGGACAGAACCCCTCCAACGGATGCCTCATCAAGGTGCTCCGGCGGGGAGAGGTCGTCGACTGGCAGGGCAGGGTCGAAGACCGACTGCACGACCCTGCCCTATGGAATCCTGAAACAGACCACCCGGCACACGTGGGTAGCAGATTCATCGAATTCCAAACCACCGACGAGACACACCTGCACCCGCTGCAGCGTCAGTGGCAGCAGGGGCCAATGAATGTCGCTGTGCAGACATTCGGCCTCAACCCGGAGAACGTGTGGCTGAGATCGCCAACAGAGCGGCCAAAGCGTCTCTACAAGGCTGGGCACCGTGTTTACTCCCTTGTGGCTGTCCTCAACGAAAGCCGCCATCGGCAGGCCACGACATCCATAGTGTTTTTCGACTTGCGGCCAATAGGACATTGGGTGCAATGGCTGGCGGTCGACGGAGAACGAGTTCACCCAGGAGAGTATCTAGAGGGACTACAGCTGCCCTTCTACGATGGTTTCACTTTGGTAGTCTATGGTGGACAAAGGCATGGAGACCAGGGCTACCTCACGATCAAGGACGGCGACGTGCTCGAGGTCCACCTCCAGCCCGACGGGGAGGTGACGCCAAATAGCCCTACCTACAGTATGGTGGTGCCACTTATTACGCCGCGGCAGCACGATCTCCCACAGGACACTGATCTGGAGACGTGGACCTCTGGACAGAGAACTGTGAGGGAGCAGATGGCAGAGGCGTGGGACCAACACGTACTTAGCAACCCGCTTGAAAGGACCCCGGGTGAAGCAGACGTTCCGCGGTGGACGGTCCCGGTCGCTGAACCGGCCGGACCCGGTACGATGCCGACAATGGAAGATCTTGGCCGCCATGTGACCATTTGGGTGGCAGCGCCGTATTATGAGGCAGAGGTGCTCGATGTGGACCTCCCACTGCCTTTGCGGATGTCTTCCTTCCGGGATGCCATGAGAGGAGCGCTTACGGTGATACCTGACGCTCTGGATGACTATGTGGCCACCGTCCCCCAAATCGATGGACATTATGCTAGCTTTGTCGCGCAGCCTGTCTGGCTGGACGATGCTGGAAAGTTCACGTTGATCATGGATACAAGGATGATGGAGGGCACAGTGTTTGCCTTCTTCACCGACATGCCACTAGACAGACAAACCATTGTCAGCAATCTCCCCGACTATGGAGACGCCGCTTTCGACATCTACTACTTTGGTGAACATCAGCCGTTGGCAGACGGACTGACTATCCAGCCCATACCAGGCGGGGTGATCAAGATAGTCCCGGCTGGTGCCCTTTGTGAATGGGCTGATGAGCTGACCCCGCGACTTCAGCAACCGGATCGCTGGCTCCCCCACCCTGACCCGCCCGAAGCCCACCCTGGACTCCACACTGTATATCAGTCGGCGAATGACCAGGTGATTGAGGAGATTGATGATGACGACATCCATCCCCTTGAGGAGGCGGCTGCAGAGGCACTCTCCGTCGACTACGAGTGCCGCGTCTACCTGCCCAACGAAAGGATGCCAAGCTTGGCACATGGAGGGAGGAGTATATGGGAACAGGTCGCTGTCCTTCCGGCGAGTGAGGACCGCGGGCGTCATACTACTGTGGTCTTCCTGGACCTCAGGCAGTTGGGGTTCTTCCCCCAATGGGTTCAAGTGGATGAGCCCTATTTCACACCGAGTGATTACATCGACGGCCTCCAAATACAAGGGGTGCAAGATTGGACCATTACAGTGATTGGGGGGGTCCCTCGAGGACCCGATCAACTTGAAGTCCGTCACCAAGAGGTCCTGACTTTCACTCTGAACCCGCCCGAGTCCTCGCCAGAAGATGATGACATGAGCAGTGGCGACAACGATGGGGACTCGAGCTCATCATCAAGCGCTACGGATCCACTACCGCACTCCAGTGACTTCAGCAGTGGCCCACCTAACAGTCCGAGTGGTGGGCCGTATGGACCGCCCCCACCCCAGCCTGTAGATAGAAGCCGCTCGCCAAGACGTCGACTGGATGGAGCGGAGACCACAAAGATCCTTGCCCTGGCTGACCATTGCCCGGTCCCAGTCTATGATATGGACAAGGAAAGTCTACGACTACAACCAGAGCCAACAGCGTTGGCCGAGATGCTCCGGCCCTGGCCCCCGAGCTGGATGCAGTTTGATGTTGGCAAGTTCCTATGGAAGCCTGCGACAATGATGGCCCTTGCCAGTGTGGTACCATGGACCGCCCTTATTACGAGTGCTGGTGAAGGCGACCTGGGCCCTGAAGTACATGTGTACACGGATGGCTCTTTCAGCGAGACTGCGGGAGCCAGTGGTGCGGCTGCCTTGGTACTGCTACAGCGGGGCAATTTGACAGCCGTGCTCGGGGGTTTCGGAACCCGAATCCTCGGGGACCCAGATACGCTCTGGAAAGCAGACCTACCGCCAGCGTTAATGGCCGAGGAAGTGGCCATTATTCTGGCCTTGTTGTGGATCGGACAGGCCACGTGGTTCCTACGATTTGCAGCAGCCACCATCCACTTCGACTGCCAGGCTGCCGGAAGAGGAGCTGACGGGACATGGGCACCATGTGACGGTGTCATTGCCAAAGCCCACGAGCTTGAAATGTTTGTGAAAGGGCTGCTTGGCAACAACCTCTACTTCGAGTTCGTCAAAGCCCATGAAGGCCACCCGTGGAACGAAGCGGTTGATGTGATGGCCAAAGCTGCTTCCCAAGACAGCCCTGACTTACCAAGACCGCCTCACGAAAACTGCGGGGCCTACCTCCGCGGTACCCTCAGTTGGACCGCGGTGACCAATTGGAGGCAGAACCCACGGGCGCTACCACTTGATGTCTTTGGAGGTTTTCAATGGGGCCCGGCCGATCAAGCAGAAGGATGTGATGTTTGCCCAGAGGAGTCGGTACCTACTGTGGCAACGGTTTCCTCCAAGACTTCGGCGAGCCTGACTTTTCGAGCCCTGTCAGTCAACCTGCAAGGTTTGAAGGGCAAACATGCCTACATCGAGGAGCAGCTCTCTTGGCGCGGGGTACAAATCGCCTGCATCCAGGAGACCAAGGATTATGATGGCATGGTTCACACCAAGAAATACCTGCGTCTGGCTGCCCCTTCGGATGCCCATTGGGGAACGGCCATCTGGCTGAGCAAGGAATATGGGGCCTTCACAGTGGACGGTGCTGCAGTGATCGTCACTGAGGCGGACGTCGAGATCAAGTGCAGCACCCCCCGACTCCTCTTTGTCATTGTCAAAAAGGCTGGGATGATGATTGCCCTCTTCTCGGGCCACTCCCCCCACGGGGGACAAGCGGAGGAGCGACTACTTTTCTACAGCCAACTGAGCAGCCTACTGATGCCCCTCCACCGAGCAGACGTTGTGGTTGGGGGCATTGATGCCAATGCCAGACCGCCTTCGGACTTTGCGCAAGTCACTGGGGCGCGAACCTACGGTGACAGTGACCAGGCGGGTGAACAACTGGTCCAAGTCCTACACGAGCATGGCATGTGGCTCCCGGCGACGTTCCACGAGTACCACTGGGGAAGCGACGTGACCTACCAACACCCGTGTGGGCCGGAACATCGGATCGATTTCCTTGCACTTGGTGGATGTTCTGCCTGTAATGAAGTTGCTAGCAGAGTGGCTACCGACTTTGACACGGCTAACAAGCTTGAGGACCACCGGGCTGTCGAAGTCGAGGTTGGCATGACCACTGGGCCGCTTCACGATGCAAGAAAACTCTACCGACCACAATTTGACAGGACGGCTATGAGGTCCGATGCTGGGCGGGCAATCATATGCACTGCGATGCAGAAATATGTCCCACCGGACTGGGGTGTTGGAGTTGATCGGCGCTGCCAACATCTACAAGACTACCTTGTGAAGGTGATGGAGGAACATTTCCCAGTGAGTCGTGGAGGAATGCGAGCCACCTATATCTCTCCGGAAGTGTGGGACTGGCGGAATGCGAAGCTCCACCTCAAGTCATGTGCCCGCCACCGCCGGAAGATGTGGGAGGCTGCTTTGGCCGCCGCCGTCTCCTGGTGGGCAGGTGCGGACATCAGATGGACCCCCAGGGCGGTTGCAAAGCACGATGTCCTCTACCAGCTTGTCGCGAGTGCCATTACTTTCGCGACGGAGCGTATCAAGAAAAAGATCCGCCAGGACAAGCAAGCCTTCTTGCAAAGTTTGGTGTATGATGGCCTATCGAGTGTGGGCCAAATCCTACAGCGGCTTAAGAAGAGTGGAGTTGGCGGCAAGCGAAACCGAGTGCGTCGGCTCCCGCTCCCTAAGCTTGTCCAGGAAGATGGCGTCGTTGCAAGCAGCCGACACCAGCATGACGCAGTGTGGCTGCGACATTTTGCCGCGCAGGAGTATGGCGAGATTCTGCCGGCCTCCACATTCCTGGAACAGGCCTCCCGGTTGGAAAGCCTCCCCGCGGACTTTCAATGGGTGCCGGAGGACCTACCGAGTCTGTTGGAGATCGAGGGATGTCTTCGCGCTGTGCCATTTGGAAAGTCACCTGGTCTCGACAATGTGCCGGGGGAACTGCTTAGGGCAGCCCCAGCACAGATGGCGGCTGCCATTCAGCCGTTATTTGTCAAAGCACTGGTTCAGCTGAAGCAGCCGGTGCAATGGAGGGGGGGCATCCTATATGCTGCCTGGAAGGGTGCTGGCAGAGTGGACGATCCAAACAGCCACCGCTCACTGTTTGTCAGCAGTACCGTTGGCAAATCGTTCCATAAACTGGTTCGAGGCCGAGGCCAAGCAGCGCTACAAACTGTACTACATGGACTACACCTCGGCAGCCGAAAAGACGCCCCCATCGGTTTTGCGTCGATGTACCTCTTAAGCTTCCTCCGCGCCAACATGCGGCGCAAGCGATGCTATGGGGCCCTCTTCGTCGACACCAAGGCGGCGTATTACAGAGTTGTGCGGCAGGTTGCTGTAGGAGCTTTGGACAAAGACGAGGATGTTGCCAGATTGCTGTCCCACTTTGGACTCCAGCCCGAGGACATGCACCACCTGCTCCGTATGGTACAGGCGGGGGGACTCATGAGGGAAGCGGGCAACCAGGAGAGTGTCACGGCTGCTTGCGCAGACTTCCACCGGGCCACCTGGTTTGTATCGAGCTACTCGGCTGGCAGCAGCCTGGCGACGACACGAACAGGGTCGCGCCCAGGAGAGAGCTGGGCAGACGCCATCTTCTCCTACGTGTACGCCAGAGCTGTTGGTACCCTGGTTGAAAGAGCGGATGGTGAAAGTCTACTTTCGTATGTCGAGCATAACCGATGCAATGGGATTTTCCCTGGGCCACCGGCGCAGCTTGCTTCGATTGCGCGGGACGGTACATGGGCAGACGATTCAGTGCTGCCTGTCGAGGATCCGTGCCCGCAACGGTTGGTCTTGAAGCCCAAGAGGCTGTGCCCATTGACCATCGCGACCCTTGAAGAGTTTGGGCTCCAGCCCAACCTTAAACCAGGCAAGACCTCAGCCGTCATCCACCTGCAAGGAAAGGGAGCACAGGCAGCCAGGAAGATGGCCTCCAAAGCAGGCAAGCCTGTGCTTTGGCTGGAGGACCTGCGAGTAGAGGTCCCTGTCGTTCCCCATTATGTTCATTTGGGGGGGGCGATCGACGCCAAGCTCACGATGAAGCTGGAAAGCCGACGCCGCCTTGCCCTTATGGGGTCGGCCTATGACCAGGGAAAGAAGCTGTTGTTCCAGAACGCCACCATCCCGCTGCAGGTGCGCGCAAAGCTATTCGAAGTGGCTGTGCGCTCCACCCTGTTCAACCTGTCCCTCTGGATTCCTGAAGGAGAGACTTGGAACAGCCTTGCTGGTGGTTATGCCAGATGTCTCCGGCGACTACTGGCCACTACGTTCAAGGGAGATCAGTTGTTCAAGATACCGCTGGTACTGGTACATGTCCGTCTGTTTTCGGCAATTGTTCTGAACGGGCCGGACATATTGTGGGCTGTGCTTCAACAAGAGCAAACATGGTTTGACAGGATCCAGCGGGACTTGCTGATGCTCAAACAGTTTGATGATTCCTGGCCGCCAGTGAGCTTGGCAAGCTGGGGTACGTGGACCAACTACATTGTCCAGCAGCCGAAGCGCTTCAAGGCGGCTGTGAAACGAATGCTTCGAGCTCGGCACTCTGCCGACATGGAAAAAGGCCGGGATTTGGTTGCCTTGTGGACGATGCGGAGAATGTTGGGTTATCCAGAGGCTGATGTGCTGCCAGGCGGTGAGCTGTGGTCCTGCCGTGCCTGCAGACGGAGCTTCCGCAGTAAAGGTGGCCTCGGCGCGCACATGTTTAAGGTCCATGGCCGCAAAGCTGCTTTCCGTTCATGTGCGACAGGGACGGTGTGTGCTGCTTGTGGCACGCAATACTGGTCGGAGATGCGACTGGCAACGCACCTTCGGGATTCCCCCTGGTGCACAAATGTGCTTCGCACCAGAGGTCATGCTGCTGAGTCACTGCAGCCTGGCTTTGGTAGCACCCTCGCCCGGCAACGCGCGGCAGAGCAGTTCACGCCAGCACCCACTACAAGAGTCCAAGAGCCCCTCCCGGACGTGGACGACGTGAAGTGGAGCAACGAGGCCACTGAGGCCTATAAGGAGGTCTGCTTTGAGCTATTTGAGCGGGCAACGTGGACCTCTATGCAAGCAGTGTTGGCCATCATTGTCGCGGTCTTTGACAAGCACCCCCTCTACTCCAGCGAGGAGATTGAGTTGTGCGACTATATCAGGTCGGAAATCCAGGAGCTAGCTGCTGGCCATCGGGACCTCCTATGGGACGAGACTTCCCGAGGTTTTGTCATGGAGGCCTTGGAGCAAGCGGCGATCCGGCCGAGCTATGGTACTGTCAAGGATACGCGTGAAGGACAAATGTCCTGGAAGGAGTTCGAGGCCGAGGTCGACGAGTTTCAGTGGGACCAGGCCGTTTCAGATAAACTTCTGAGTTGCGGGACCCATGAGCCGGCGTCTGAAACCCTGTGCATAGACTGGGAAGCAGGAAAGCCTATGTATAGTGACACCGGGGATTTTCCTGCCGCGACACTCGACTCCTCTCGTTTTATCCCAATACAGCTCCGTACAGTTTGGCAGAAAGTTCTACAGGGAACGGTACAGACCATTTCTGCCTCTGAGAGCTTTTGGGGTCACCCCTTAGCGGCGCCCTTCGCTGCGCTGCGGGGCAAAGCATGTAATTAGAGCTGCGTACTACCTCTGAACGCCTCGAAATGAAAATGTATGTATGTATGTATGCATGCATGCATGCATGCATGCATGGATGTATGTATGTAATTATGTATGTATGTATGTATGTATGTATGTATGTATGTACTGTATGTACTGTATGTACGTATGCATGCATGTATGTATGCATGCATTCATTCAATCCGCCCCCGGCATACTAATAGTCAAAAACAGGTTCTTACAAAAAACAACCCACCCATGAATAGCACAAGCACAATGAGTGATTTGGCCTTGCCAAACGGAGTCTTGCCGATACATTCCACACCAGACCCCATCCACCCCACGCATCCCCAGAACCAACCTCGCAACCACCCCACCCTCCCGCCCAGCATCCCACCCACCGCTCAAATCACCCCACCACCCCAACAGAGCGAATGCTGGTCAAGGTGGAATTACAGACAGAGGAACTGCCTAACTTCAAAAGTTTTTTGGCCGAGATCTAGTTTTGAGTTTCAGGGGAAGCACCAACTTTCACCAGAAGTAGCACAACAAGGAGCGCACTACTTTGTATCAGAAGCATCACAAACAGGATCGCAAAATTTGCACAAGAAGGAGCACACAATTTTGCATCAGAAGTAGCACAAGGTTTGCTCCAATTTCAATCGCAAGCCAAGGTTCGTGCATAGGGCCGACATGCCAAAGCTTTGTGTTTAATTGTAAAAAAAGCACAAGGAGCAGCACATAAAATGCAACAGAAGTAGCACAAAAGGGAGCCCAAGATTTTGCACCAGAAGTAGCACAAAAAAGGTCAACATATTTCGCACAAGAAGCCACACAAAAGGGAGCACACAATTTTGCACCAGAAGTATAATCAAAAGGGGCACCATGTTTTGCACCAGACGTTTCACAAAAAGGAGCACAATATTCTGCACCAGAAATAGCACAAGTTTGCTCCGATTTCCAAGAATGAGCACGATGAAAAGCACAAGGCCATTGTATTCAAATTGAATCAAAGTTGAGGCGAGGCAGTGTTGAGAATCGAAGCTTACTCAAGGGTTGCCAGATGCGGACAGAGCAGGCGTTGCAACAAAGCCGCACAGAAACACTCCTCAAGAAAGAGCTGTACTATCCGCCCAGCACAGTGTCCAAACTGCCCAAGGCTGGATTTTCAAGTGGTCGTGTTGGAATAGCGGCAGCAGTACAGCACCGACTAGGGGCAATCTCAGGGAAATCACGTAAAACTTGATAGTTATGCATCCTGCTGAGATGGAGGAAACTGTTGTTCAGGCTGTTAGCCTATGCGCTTCCCGTGTGCAGGCCTATGGATGCTATGGGTTGCTTTGGGATACCGTGCCAAGCAGAGCCAATTTCAGGAATATGGTCAGTCTGTGTTAGTGGGACGGGGGCGGATTGAATGTAGACACGTGTATATGTATATGTGTAGATGTACCTAAGCTCCCTTCCATGCGATGCATACATACGGATATAGTGTATATGCGTGCCTACCAAATGCATGTGTTGTTTATGTTTATAGATGCACGTATGCTAAGCCGTAGTGGCTAAGGCACACGGTGTGCATGCATACAATGCAGACCCATGTCCAACCACATGTCTCTTCTTCACGTCCATGTGTAAGAGGTCTCGAAGAATCCCGAGCAATTCCACCGAGCGGCTCCAAAGCAGGGCAGCCGGGAAGCCTCGAAAAAAAGGGAAAATTTACAGCCCAACCTGTGCATCTTCAAACCCGAACCCAAAGTGTGCTCAACCGGGGCGACATCAAAAACACTGGTGAGTGGCTGCCAGAGGCCTCAAGCGAGCTTGCGACAAGGCCGCAGGTGTGAGACTGGCCATGGCAGCAGACTAGGGGCACAACTGGCTCAAAAGGCTCCAGGGCGAAGGGGCTCCAGAGCGCGGAGCCGGCGGACAACATACAAGAACGAAAGCATGCGTCGAAGGAATAAAGCGCGGTGGCGGGCGGCATCGGCAAAAGAAGCCTGAACAGGTGCCGAACTTGCCCTGAATCCTAAGCCTTATAGGAACCCTGAAATTTTATATTGGCAACCTTCGGCGTGCACGCCAGGCGACTCGGATCCGTGGACCTTGGCATGCTTTGCAGGACATTCGGTTTAGAGGTTGCGATGGGTTGAGGGTTCAGGGTGTCAATGCTCGGGCAGATTGAGTTCACGAGTTCGCACAAATACATGCGTGCATCCTTTGCGCAACAGAATTTGTAACCTTCGGGCAATACACTTCAACGCATTACTTCCGGCGACGGAATACAAGAGGCATGAAAGGTTGCAGTGGACTGCGTGTCTCGATTCGACGTTTGATTTTGAACGGTTGTGATGCAGAGATGCTCGGTGGGTCAGCAATTAGACTAGGTGGCAACTGTTGCACGAGCAGGATGCTTCATGTCATGTGTCAACGAGAACCGTCGCTAAAGCCATTCACATAGCGTTTGATTTTACCTGTGTGGCCATGATGATTGCTCACACTAGGAAGCAAGGTACAGTGCATCTACTGGATAAGAAATGCCAGCTTCCAGCGTTGGGTACCCTTCTTTTCTTAGCTTCCTTTCAGGTTCACATATCCGCATTTCTCAGCTCCCGAATCGTTGGGTACCCTTCATTTCTTAACCATTGCTTAGCCGGGGATCGAGCCCGTGGAAGTCCATCAACTAAGGTAAGCGCCCTAACCATTAGGCCAGACAGACACCGCCAAGACAGTATTACAGTAGGCTTGAATCTTTAGTGCCTAGATGCAACTGCCAGAACAGGGTCCGGCTCTGTAGTGAGCCGCGTAGCCCTGTGCAGCCCCTACATTTCTTATCCAGTCGTTTCTTGTACAGTGATTGCACTGTAATTCAGGAACCAACTACGTAATGCTCATACCGGACACAGCGAATGTAAGGATTGCGAAAACTCTTTTAAATGCACTAAAGTAATTGTAGTCAGGTTGAAAAGACTGTCGTTTGTCATATCCGTACTGTAGTTACTAGTGATTTGTGATCCATGAATCCTCTTATGCAGCGATTCGCTAACAATTGTTAGAAGCAAGATACGAAAGTGCTAGCAAAAGCAAGCTCAGCAGCAGCAGCAGCAGACGAAATAGGAAGGGGGGTATGGACTAGATTAGACTCGTCGCATGATGCCGTGAGTCACGTCGATAAGAACATGACTAGTTAGCCAGGATGATAACTCACTCCTTGGTACACCGAGGACCTTCGCCAGAAGGGCAGCCTCTGGTCACAATGCTACGCAGGCAGCCGGGCAAGCTGTCGCAGTCCGCTGCACAGATTTTAGGAACCATCGTATCTGTGGTCTGTTTCCCTGACACTGGCATGGTGACCGGCGGCTGTAGGGAGGGTCGGTGCTTGCGCCTTTTGAGAGCCGCCCTTCTATGGACACCCTGTCGGATGTGAAGGTTTCCCCCCGCGGCTGCTTCGAGTGATTTGCTGCACCTACATCTACAGCTCAAGCCTCAGAAGGCTCGAAGACTACAGTCAATGCCTACCCTCTGTCAGTTCAGGTAGGACTGATGCAAAGTGTTATATCCGCGCACAGCTCAGCCCATCACGCCAAGGCACGCTGACCGATGCTTGCGAGTCTCTTTTTCGGTCCACCGCCGCTTACTGCAAAGGAGAGTTTTGAAGAGCCAGAGCTCCCGATCCGGACAGGGGTTATCCGGATTTGCCGTTCATGGTTCTGTAAGCAGTCCTTCGAAGATGTGTTCAGAGGACCCATGCCTGGGGCTTCCATAGATTCGAGGCAGTAGCATGGTGTTTCTTAGCTTTCCAAGCAGTCACAGAGAAGCAGCAGCTTTGCAGCTTGCTAAAGAGAGCCCGTTCGTTCGTTGCAGACATCGTCAAGCTTCCTCCCACATGCGTTCCGGAGTTGGGGAGCTCTTGTGCTCTGAGGTGCCTTCACATACATGGAGTCAGCACACAACGAGTTTTTTTGGAACAGCACGTGTTCACTGGGGAGATACGAGTTGGGGGCTCTAAACTGCCCCCAAATCGTACGATACATGATCAGCGCCTCGGGGTGAAGGCATCCAGTGCAGCTCTGCAGGATTTCGTCTCGGCATGGAGGCGAGGCCCCGAAGGTTCGAACGCCAGAGCGCATGGACACCCAACTCAGGCCCAACTCCCTCCCTAACCCCCCAGGTACCTACTATATAGGGTAGTGGAGCCCGTAATGCCCTATATAGTAGGTACCTGGAGGGTTAGGGCCTACCAAGGATGGCCTCACTTTGCGCGGCTTGCGCGGCCAGCTGCAGCTCTCGCTGGAGACGCTCTCCTGAGCGAGCCGCTGTGGAGGCTCGCTTCTTCTTGGTTTAAAAATGCTTAACTTAATAGCTAGAGTTCTGCATGCGCAGAGGCCTGCCTGCTTGCCAACTTCCTAGTGTATTTCTCCATTTCAGAATCCTATGTCGCCTGCACCGGCGAAGCTGGCATGCGCTCAGCAGCACGGCGGCGGTCCCGTGTTCGTAGGTCTGAACTCCAGGTCCAGGTTCATCAATCAATTTGTTTCCCTGCTTTGAGAGCAGTGCCTGACAGAATGTCCCGGCATCTCGTTTTGATCATGGTCCTCACTTCGTGGATGCGACAAGACGTCGTCGCGGCATGTGATGCTGATGCTGTCATGGCTGCAGCGACATGCATGCAACAGCTGTCAGTGCCCACGGATGGAAATGTGGCAACCGCTTGCCAATATGTGCAGGACTACATGACATGCTACCCCGAGAATTCTGCACGTCGACTGTTGAGACGGCATTGGCCAGTTTTGGGCAAGCTCCTTTCAATTGTGCCGGAACGACATGTGGCGGCACGATATCACAAGATCATAACGTCACGACAACAACCACCGCAAACGTTGTTGGAGCCGGTGTGCATGGCACTGGCGGGACTGGAGCTGAGACCATTCAGATGTCAGTTCAGACATGGGAGGACTGTTGCAGCTACTGCAACCAAGATGTCTGTTGTGGTTTTGTCCTGATTTCAGACGGCGTATTCTACCAAAACTCGGGTCCACTTGTGACCTGATTCAACCTCCAGCTATGACTACCTCCAATGCGGCGTCCATCAGTCTCTTGGCATCCATCGTTCTCCTGAGCTTGGCCACAATGCAGATCTAAGTTGCACGTTGGAAAAGGCCGGTAAACACGCCATAGGAAAACTGCTCGGTCCCCTGCAGGCTGCAGGGGCTCCATGTCCTGGCATACCCAAATCTGTGAAGCACTCCTCTGGGTTGAGGGAGGCTCGAAGGTCCTGGTGGTGCTGGTGCTGGTTCTTGTGCTGGTGCAGACAGGAATGTAGCTAGGAGGCTGTTGGCTGGAGTACTGGTAGGAACGCAAGTAGGAGAAGATACTTGATTTCCAATAGCACTAGCATCAAGCGCTGCCTGGAGGCCGGCAAGCTTCTGCTGGTTCCGGGCTCCTGAAGGCTGCAGGGGCTCCATGCTTGATCCACAGTCAAATCTGTGAAGCACTGCAGACTCAGCCAATGAGTTGCGGCAAGTCCAGGGTTGCCCTTCCTCCAAGTCTGTATGTGCCCTGCTTTTTGAAGCTAGGATCCTTTACGCCATCTCGGGAGTATTGTGCTGAGAGTATGAGGCTCTTAACATTCAGGTGCTTGTGGTGCTCTGGGTTGAGTGAGGCTGGAAGGTCTTGGTGGTGCTGGTGCTGGTTCTTGTGCTGGTGCAGACAGGAATGTAGCTAGGAGGCTGCTGGCTGGAGTGCTGGTAGGAACGTAAGCAGGAGAAGATGCTTGATTTGCAGTAGCAGTGCTGGAGCACCAGCGTTAAGCGTTGTCTTCGGACAAAGCGATTCAAGTTAGGCTGCTAAGTTGTGGCTAGTGGTTCTCCAAAACTTTGCTGGTATGAGGCCTCCTGCCACCCTACTCTCCTGCCACAATTGCCTGCCTGTAGCCCTTCGGCGTTCAGCGGCTTGCTCTCTGTGCAGAAGCCCTCGTCACCCCGGTCTTTGTCAATCTCCAATCCTCAAAGTCCTGAAGCCTCGGAGCCCTCCAACTTCCGTTTGCCAGGCCCAACTTTGCCAATTTTGCTGCCAGCTGTCTTGAGCTGGCGGAATACATCCGGAGAGCACGGAGTGCGTCAGTCGCTCTCCGTGTAGCCGGAGCTCCTGCATCGAGCTGTCAGTGGAGTTCCCGCACTATAGGCTCGGAACTTGGGAGCACGTGTTTCGCGACCTGGAGGGATTTTCCTTCGGAGGCACCCGACTGAAATTTCCAAGCCCAAGGGACCATACTCTCCCGGGCTGGTTCTGCCGTTGAGCCTAGTTTCAGCATTTAGAACATTTTCAAACCCCAGGGCGACAATAGAAGCTTCAAGCGAGCAGTCCCGAACTATCGGATGACAGAAACCTCCAGCCCTGTAAGGCCAAGCAGAGAGAGATGATCCAAAAGTTAAGCTCAGGGGGACCTCCGAAGAGCATCGATAGCCGTGTTCAGAGTGACTCTGACACAGCCGCGATATGCGACTCCTTCGGATGATGCTTGGTTCAATCTCCCATGACTGAGGGCTTCGAGTTTGGCTGTCCGGGGCAAGGGCGCCGATCTTGGGGACGAGGGGTTTGGCTGTTTGAGGTTTAGGCTTCAGGCTTCAACAGTTCAACGACAACCATTTTGTCAATTGTTGTCTTTCCAAGCACATCGCAAGGACATCGCTGGACACGAAGACTAATGCAATTCTGTAGCCTTGGCATCTCTCATGCAAGTCCGTCACCACAGCAACGCCCTCGATTAGTGCTGCCAGTTTGCAACTTTGGAATCTGTATAGGCATCTTGCTCCGACGCAGTAAGATCGAGCCCCGAACGTTCCGTCTCGAGCTTTGCAAGAATTGCAAGTGCCGGGGCCAGGCTTATAATGTCCGGAGGCGATACCGCAAATAGCTGTTCACAGACCCTCCAGCAGCAGCATGCGAGAAAAAGACTGGCAGGAGGCACGAGGTGCAACACGAGTTACTGCAGAGAGGATTCCGACTAAAGGGTTTCAATCGCGATCGTCTCACTCCGAAGTTCCACGTCCTTGAGGCCTCCTTGTCAGCTCGACCATCGTAGCACACCACTTTTGGTATATCCAAAGTTCTTCAGAGCCATCATTGCTGTTGTCTACTGAAGTTGCTACTTTTAGTGGCACAAGTATGAGTAGTATGATTATGACTGCTAGTGATATTTGTGCTGCTATTACATCTTAATGTCGTTTTCCTCTCTAATATTGTACTTATCATCAGTAGTTTTCTTACAGACGCAGCGTATGGTCAGTGGACACCATCCTCAGCCTCCCTTCCCTCCAGTCATCCCAATACGCGGCTGACACTGACTCTCTATCAACGCACCCTGCAACCGTCGTAGTAGTCACAGGGTGGAAGATGGCAGGCGAAGCATGGTGATGAATCGGCAGTCCCGCCAGTGTAGAGCAGGTGTCGTCGTCGATCAACCTGAGGAGCTACTGTACATATGCGGCCGGTAGTTTGCTAATTTGGTCATCATTGTCGGGTTTCAGCTGCAAGTGGATGCTGACCGCAAGTTGTGCTGAGCTGGTGGCATGACAGCAGGCCGAGCTTGAAATTGCGAACGGCTGTTTCTCGTGCTGCTTCAGTAGCCGACATGTGTGAGCCGAGCATCAGTGGTGAAACTTATGTTGGAGCCCTGGCGTTCTGGTGACCAGGTCTATCGAGCCTTTATCATTTTGACGAGATTAGCTTCGAAACCTGACTCGGTATTGTCGGCCGTTGAACAACAGTGAGTGAGTATTCGGGGCGCTGAGAACATTCTGGACTTCGTGCAACCCTACAGTCACAGACTGCGTAGGTTTGAGTTGCATTGTTCCCGCCGCAGCTTCTGCTCGGATAAGAAAGCAAGCATTGCCAAACGTCTCGAGCATAGCAGACACAGCAAGTAGAGGCATTGAGAGCTGTGGGTTGTGAAGGCAGTCTTGACTAGAGACTCGTAGAGCCACGACACAGTGACTTTAGTAATTTCCCCAAACACACGCTATGGCTTGGAACAAGCGAGTGCTGCTGTTTGCCAGTGTTGCGCTGTTGGCAAGACTGTTGGAGGCATGCCGCCCACGTGGCGTTTCCCACCTGGTTGAAACATGCATAGATCAAGACTCATAACAAGAAGAACTACGATGATACGCATACACTACTTATGATGAATGTTACTAACGATAAACGAATACATCTTCAAATCAGCTGAAGAAATGAATATACACATGTCTACGGAGCAATCACGCAGCGGCAGTATCAACTTCAGGGACACCATTATCAACAGCGAGCATACCGCCGCCAACAGCTACAATAGTATCAATAGAAGCTATTCATGAAGTAGTACTATGGCTATTTCGCTCTAACTGTAAACATACACGCGGGCACAACTCTTATTGATATTGACCACAACTAGTCTGTCTCTACCACTAGCAATACTCATGAGGCAAGCAAAAGTTGAGCGTGCAAATTGTTTAGGAGGCGGAGCCAAAACACTTATCAACAGTGAAAAACAGTAGTCAGTAGACCTACACCTCACATGAATCACCGTGCGAAAATGACTGACACGATTCGAACTGCCCGAAGTCCCAAAGCTCTGGAGCAAGCGTGCTGTCAAGTTGAGCTGGGCTCGGTTTCAAGATGCAAAACCAGGCCCAGCTGCGATTGAATTTCGAGATCTACAATGTTCCGAAGGATCAACAGACCAAAAACTTCCAACAACAATCAGTGCAGAGTCAGCAGCAGCGTCGTTCCCAAGACTTTGCCACCCTGTGACAGGTTGTATGCTCTTCCGGCAACAATCCTTTCTTGGACGGACGGAATGAAAAGCCGTAAGGAATATGCCCTGAAGATTCGCTCTTCACGTATCCGTGCATTAGTAGGTATGCAAGTCGAACGCATCTTTCAGTAGGTCAAAGGCACGTAAGACACACGGCAGTTGAAAGACAAGCACAAAGTATGTCAACAGGCACACTTGGAAAGCATGACACGCACACACACACACACACAATGCCACCAAAACCATGCAAGATCCCACACAACCCAAACAACCGAAACCCTACAGCAAGAGCAGAAACGTCATGATCGACACTGCCAGCAATGACACTCTTCTCTGTGTGCTGCTGCGTGCCGCTTGCAGGTGTCCTTTGTAACAACTCTGGGGCGGCGGTCGAGGCGGCTTTGTCATCAATCTTGGTGTTGGATTTCTTGAGATTTCTCAACATCGGGCGTCCTGTATTCCTAGATCGCTGTGATTCAGCTTCATACCACAGTTCGGCGAAGTTAGTCTCCGCGAACACACGCACGCACATGCACACGCACACCCACACACACACACACACACTCACACACACACACACACATGCACACCCACACACCGACACACCCACCCACACCTACATATATATATATATACACACACACAACACACACACACACAACCACACAAGCAAACAAACAAGCAAACAAACAAACAACTAAACAAACAACTAAACAAACAAACAAGCAACCGCGCATACAAGCAAACAGGCAAACAAACAAGCAAGCAAGCAACCAACCAAGCAACGAAGCAACCAACCAAACAAACACGTAAGCAAATAAACAAACAAGCAAGCAAGCAAACAACCAAACACTAACAAACTCTCTCTCACACACGAACAAACACAAACACAAACACACACACACACACACAAACACAAATACAACCACAAGCACAAGCACAAACACACACACACACAGACAAACACAGACACAGACACAGACAAAGACAAAGACAAAGACAAAGACAAAGACAAACACACACACACACACACTCTGATAAACACACAAAGACAAACACTCACACACAAACAAACAAGCAAACAAACAAACAAGCAACCACGCATACGAGCAAACAGGCAAACAAACAAGCAAGCAAGCAACCAACCAAGCAACGAAGCAACCAACCAAACAAACATGTAAGCAAACAAACAAACAAGCAAGCAAGCAAACAACCAAACACTAACAAACTCTCTCACACACGAACAAACACAAACACAAACACAAACACAAACACACACACAAACACAAACACAAACACACACACAAGCACAAGCACAAGCACAAGCACAAGCACAAGCACAAGCACAAGCACAAGCACAAGCACAAGCACAAGCACAAGCACAAGCACAAGCACAAGCACAAGCACAAACACACACACAGACAAACACAGACACAGACACAGACACAGACACAGACACAGACACAGACACAGACACAGACACAGACACAGACACAGACAAAGACAAACACACACACACACACACTCTCACAAACACACAAAGACAAACACTCACACACAAACAAACAAACAAGCAAACAAACAACCAAGCAAGCAAGCAAGCAAGCAAGCAAGCAAGCAAGCAAGCAAACAAACAAACAAACAAACAGACAAACGCACACACACCACAGAGACAGACACACACACACACACACACGCGCGCGCGCACACACACACACAGACACACTCACATACACACACACACACACATACACACACATACACACACACACACATACACATACACACATACATACACACATATACACACACACATACACACACACATATACA